ATTATATAATAACAAAATAAAAAAATGTTTATCAACTGGATTTGTAAAAAATTATGTGAAAAAATATTCAAAATTACATCATTTTAAATGATTTGCATTGAAAAATACTAAAATAATTTACTTTTTTAAAGCAAGAATGATATTGTTTTAGCTTTTCAAATATTTTTAATAGATCCAATTAATAAACACTAATATGTAATATCATATCATAACAGAAAGAGCTAAATTAAAAAAGTAATAATATGGTGTAATAACTTGTGTCAATGTTTTGCATGGTGACATGGAGTTGTTGCATTTTTTAAAATCGTTAAATTTATAAAATGTAAATTTTTTGAGGGATAATGGAGATATAAAAATTAAAGAAAAATATAGAAAATATGGAGGCAATTAATTACCGTAGTCATCCACTTTTTATCGCTTAAACCTTATTTTCATCACAATTTGTAGATTGAATTAATAAAAATTAAATTACAGTACCAAGTGCTTAAAGTGTTCAACCAAGGCGGAGGGATATAAACACAATAGAATTTTCATACTTGTTTTAATTTCTTTTAACCTACATTTTTTAAAGAAAAAATTAAAGTAAAATACAAGGCAGAGGAGACTCCAAAACCACTCAAATCATAACCAAATAAAACCTTTGATTTCCCCTTCTCTCTTCCTTTCAACTCTCCCAAAGCACATGAAACTCTTCCCCAATGCCCTTGACTTCCTCATCCCACCTAAAGTTGAGTCCTTCCCACACCAAAAAATTATCAAAGGAATGCAGCATTACTAAATCAAACAACTTGCGTTCATTAATACGAGATCTTTGAAACAGATATCAATTCTAACTAATCAAAATGATCCAAGTTAATACAAACCAAATCTTTGTTAAATAAGAAATAAATTAATGTTTGATATTTGAAGAACTAATTAGTTGAAAAGCTCTTAAATTTTCTGCCAAAAGCGAAAATGATTATTATTGATGTCTTGTTGTACATAAGAAAACCCTCTCAATCTAACCTTTATTAAAGATATAAATACTGAACCAACAAGTGTTCTAAGAACATAGAGCTTCTACAGCCAACCAAAGATCAACATTAATGTCTCTACACTGCAATGAGATGGTCCAAAAGTATCTACACTAAAGGAGCAATTCTCATTGTCAAATATTACTTTTGCTTTCCCAAAAAAAAAAAAAAAAAAAAGAAGCAATTCTCATTGTCAAGACAGTGTTTCTCTAACGATTTGCATGGTCTCATAAGTCTCACCATGGCCCATATGGAAATCTCCACAGCTACCTCCGGTTTCATCAAAGTTAGCAAAGTTGATATCAGTGAAAGCTCGCTTACCTTGGCATGACTCCAAGAAATCCCCATCTTAAGCATGACAGCTCCAATAATAATTTACTATTATATATAAA